ATAAAAGTGAATCAATATCTTGCAAGAAAATCATTTCTGTTTTGTCACCTTTTTTTGGCTCGACTATGTTCGACTGTACGGTTGGCGGACGTAATATTTTGTGGGTTTGAATCTTGATCTGCTATGCGAAGCTCTTTTAGGTTTGATCTGATAACGCAAATACAACACAGGAGAACTCAGAAGTGTTGGGTAACATTTTGGTAATAAACAAATTAAGCTTTATATTCTAACTTTTTAATTACAGGGTTACGACAAATTCCCGATCTGTATGGCCAAGACATCGAACTCTTTGACTGGTGACCCAGCTGTAAAGGGCGCACCTACTGGATTCACCCTAAAAATCAACGGTATTTTCGCCTCTGTCGGTGCTGGATTTGTAGTCCCAATGGTGGGAGAAATCTCTAAAATGCCTGGACTCCCCACTAGACCCAGCATCTACGACATAGACCTCAACACGAAAACAGGAGAAATCGAGGGTCTCTTCTAAAATCAAAATGAAAATGTCGAAACAGAACGCAACAAAACACCCTATGTATAAAATGTTAAGAATTATTTTTGTATAATCAATGTTAATAAAATATACATATATAATGTTAAGCCTGGTGTTTTACTTATATTGATTTAGGCCGTGATTATTTAGCAGGAAGGTCCCTCCTACAGATGCAGCTTTAAGGTACCACACTACCTAGCATATCAGTTAAAAACCTTATTTAGTGTAGTCGGTTAAAATACCCAGGTACAATAAAATTGTTTGATATTGAAACAAACAATTAAACAATAATAACAATGTAAATAAGTCATAAAACAGCACTTTTACTCGTCAAAATTATATGTAAAAAACAAGATAAAGCTGGATTTCCTATCTGACTCTGACTCTGAGAAGAAATGTCGAAACAAACTGAGAGGTCCGACTCTTTTCAAGTCCAGACAACGTGCAAGTTTATTCCGTAGTGGTCTTTTGAAGAAAGAACCACACCAGTTTAAATGGACCCGTTCTAAAGAAAGGCACAAGTGTCAGTTTACAACCAGTTAAACTTGGGTGTTGCTGACTCGTACGACGAACAATACCGATCAAAAGAACATTTGGGTGGGTCACGCAAATACTTAAATTGACAGAAAATAGATAACTTACACCCGGTTTCTGAAAGGCTTGTCAACGCTAAAATTAACTAATCTCCTGTGAAATCTCTTGTGAAGTCATCTGATTAGTTGACTGATTTATCTTGAATTGACTTTCACATTGATCGGCCTATCGGAAACCGCGGATAAGTATCATCGAAAAGCGCCACAAAGTCTCACACAGTTCTTGCACTAACAATAATTGGTAAAATACTGAAAATGTCAATAAAAGTTTTCAAGGCTCGAGTGATTAGATTGCTTATTTTTATTTAAAATATACTTACGACTAACACATGTCGCGTCGTCAGTCGGCTGCACAATGTATTTTTTGTAAGTCGTTATTTTCTATGAATTTAGGTAGTACCTACCTATGTCTGACGATGAGGACAAAAAAGGGTGCGTACCTAGGTAGGCGTGCTTCATCGTAGGTCGCATCGTCGATAATCACACTTTTTTCCTGTTCCTATTGATTAAAAATAACAAGCAATAAAGCTAAAAAGGTACAATAAATGATGTCACCCATCAATCCTACATGCATTATGCAACAAAAATAAAAAACCTGCATACATAACCTTACATGACTTCATATAGGGTTGCCAAACTAGACTATTAAAAATCTTTCTGCATTACATTATACTTTTTACTGTTGAACAAAAATAAAGTATCCATAATACTGTTTTCAGCATCAACATAATATACTCCTCACCTTAGAGTTTAGATTTCGATGGCCCCGCCGAAATATGATTGCTAGATTGAACAAAAACTGTTGATGCAGTTTTAAACCTCATACGATTTACCATCTTCATCGGTTTAAATTTGAATTCAGAATACCATACGACATGGAGCAATTGATTTTTTTAATAAAAAGTACCATGTTCTCGCCACGGTAAAGCTTCGTGGTACTTAAGCTTTTGGGTTCATCAAACAGGTGGCGCCCTCTGACTGCAGTCATAATAACACATAGTATTCCTATTTTGTTACAAGTAATTTTTTCTTAATTTATGATTAAGATAAATCTCATCAATTATATTATCCTTACATTATTTATACATATTACCTACCATTTATTACACAATTTAACATTCATCACAATTTAACATCATCATCAGTTAAAGGAAAAAATATCTTACTGTTGTAATGAGGTAGGTAGGTATAGAGTTTATCACCGCTTTATGAAATGTTGAGGGATCATCTCCCATTCCTCTCCTATGGCAGTTTTCAACTCCTGCATCGTCTGGGTAACTGGCTGGCGAGCCCTAACACGTCTTGTTAGCTCGTCCCACATGTGCTCAATGGGGTTCATGTCTGGGCTTCTGGCTGGCCACTCCATAACTGTGATCTTCACATACCGAAGATATTCCCTAACGATGCCGGCCGCATTGGCTTTTGCATTATCACGCATAAAAGGAAATTTAGGCCCACATAGTCCGCGTATGGTATCACGTGAGGTTCTAAGCACTCACGAATGTACCCTTCAAGCATTTAATGTTGGCAGCCGTGGTCCTGTAACAACCTCAAGTTGAGTTGTGCCGCTCGCGGATGTACCGCCCCAGACAGTCCATGAGCCACCGCCATAAGCAACCCTCTCTTCAAAGCAGCATTGTGCAAAACGCTCTCCCTTACGTCGGTAGACCTTCTACCTTCCATCATTGCCATGTGACACAATTTTGGACTCATCAGAAAGCCATTAAATGACTGCGTGCGAAATGAAGGCGCACTGTTCGGTGGGCTCGCGTTAGTTTAGGCCCATTAGCTGGATTGTGTGGTACCATACCGCGTTCTTATAACCTTCTCCGAACACTTCGAGCGCTCACAAATACTCCGTGGAAGTCCCGAAGTTGGTTTTGTATGTCAATGGAGGTAAGGTGACTATTCCTCAAGCTGGTCGTCACGATGAATCCATTCTGCGTTTTAGTTGTGACCCGAAATCGTGGCTTCCTTGGCGACGAACAAAGCCGCCAGTCTCTAGGTACCCCTGATAGATATTTTGGACCGCAGATCGACTTAAATTAAGTTGAGCACTCACGTTTCTTTGGTTGTGTCCGATTTTGGGCGGCGATTTTAGGTGAAGATCCATAGATTATCGATAGCACCTCACCTTAGTGTAAGTCTCCTTAGTTGTTGCAAACAAAAGATATCAATCGCTTTTTCATGAATTGAATCCAAGTAAACCAATAAAACCAACTTTTCTTAATATTCAATCGTTCAAAACTGCATAAAAACTTTTTGCTCGACCTAATATAAAATTTTAGCTAGGACCAAACAAAACTGAAAATACAAGTTGGGACAATAGATGTGTCCAGAAGTGTATATACTTTTAGCAAAATCGTTAGGCGCCATGTGCCGATATAAATAAATCATCTAGGGCGCTACTCGAACGCATGCAGAAAAAAATGTTTAAATCGGTCAAGCCGTTTAGGAGGAGTTCAATGACATAAACACGTACAGCTGAATTATAGCTATGGTTTCCGGCTTCCCTTCCCGGAGTTGATATAAGATTACCTACGTAAAAAAACGTAGTATGACATAAAAAGTAAAAAAAAAACATTTTCTCATTATTTCCACTATGTTTATAAACAACATTTTCATTGTGGGGTATATACATATATTAAAATTTTTCAACTTCCCACTCTTGGGCGAGCGACATATGACCGTGCAGCTGACCGTGACAGAAGCAGGATTCTTTGAGGTTGGCGCGAAATTTAAAATTCAAAATGTTTTCAAAAGTGATTTGAATAACCAAAAATGATGTCGCTTTAACTCCATCATATACTTGTAAGTTAGCCACTAACTTTATTTTAGTAAAAAAAGTAGTTTAAGACTTTATTGAAATCGGAATTTTAAGGAAAGATAGTTCCTTAATCGTTCGAACGATACCCAAATAATCTTCGTTTGTTCGTTCTTTTAAGGAACGATTATTTATGGCACGAAATTTAAAACTCCAATTGTGTATAAAGTAGTAAAGGTCCATATTGTGTACAAAGTCTGAAATTCCAAAAATTGGCTGATTCATAAGCATCTCTCCAACTCCTAATCTGCTTATGAGAATCTTCTTATGACTATTTATATCACATCTTCGAAGAACTGTATGTAGGTTTATGTATTTTAGCAAACATTTAAGGGATATATGAAAGTTGATAGATGAAATATCTTCTAAATGTAGGTACAGGTTTTATTGTCTGTTTTAAGTTCGTCTTTTTATGTATCGTTTATTCTTTTATTATATCTGTGTTAATGTAACTAGATCAAATCCGTGTTAACATAAATAAATAAATAATAAATCTGATGAGTTGATTTATGTTAATTAGGAGTAGGTATTTGCCATGTCCTCCAATAGAGGAAAAGACCTTACCGGTCAAATTTTCGAGTCTCCTAAATAACGCAAATAACAATAACAATAGGGGTGAGCCTGTTGGCGTTCACTGCTTCATGCTTAAGAAAATAATCAAAATTGAAACCATTACTAGAGCATTCACCTGACCCTGACCTATAGTTCTTTGAAGATGTGAAACAGCCCCATTTTTAGACTAAAGACGTGGCCGCTACTCAGGCGGAAACTACTCGCATAGTTTCATCGAAATTTTTATGGCGCATAAACATCAGCGCATACTTTATCAAAATGCGTGCTGATACGAAGAACTTTGTCGAAAAAAACCAACAACACTTTGTCGACCCAGAAACCAGAGACAGTCAACATCCCCCGCGTAGACATTATTACAAATCTCCTAAAGCGTTCAACAAGAGAGAGGCGTTTGATCAGCAATGGATGTATTCCTGCCAATGATAGGTATGATGATAATAAAAGTAGAGATGATCTTACCTAGATAAGCCTGCTAAATCAAAAAAGGGCGAAAAGTAAAACGATGCAAATAAAAAAAAGGCTTTATTAAACTGTTCACTTATTTAAATTATTACATTTAAGAAGCATCGGCGGGAGTTTCTTCGACTTCATTCACGATGTCTGTGGGTTGGAATGCGGTAGTGGTTTCAGTATTGGGTGGTTCGTCATCGTCGCTGTCATTGGCTCCAGGGTGGGCGTGCTGCGAGGGTGGCGCGTGCGCAGGTCGTGAAGCACTCGATGTTCCCGGGGCTGACCATACGCCTTGAGAACGCTAAAAAAGAAAAAAACAGTAAAATTATGACCACGAATTATTTATCATATTTTATGACTAGCTACACTCGTGCGGTTTCACTCGCTGTTCGACTCCTATAGATCGTCGCGTGATGTTCTCTAGCCTATAGCACTCTTGTGTCATGTAAATTCAGTTCAAAAGTTTTCGACTGCGAAACCAATTAGTTTTGCATTGAATTTTAGACAGAAGCAGTGACATGTTAATAATGTAAATACCACACACCGTGTTCTTTTTAATTGCAATGGACACAAAGTTGTTGCATTACAATTCAAGTCACGAATGGCAAGATAGATATCGCAAACTGACGATATCTTTTTAGACAGAAACATTAGCGTACAAAAAAGCTAGACAATCGATAGTGCCGATATAAAACCTTGATTGAAGCTTTAGGGGAATGGAATGGACTTAAGCCTGTACGTGTGTGGCGTGTTGAATTATTCCATTTAATATTCGATTCCTAATTGAACGACGTTTTGTTTTGGTCTGAATTGATATGCGTAAAGTTCCATATGTTTTTGGTATTCAGTAATAAACTACGCTATCGCTCGTTTTAATATGCTAAGTATGTAAGAGTTATAGTCTATAATATACATAATACTCGACACGAACCGTGTCAAGGTATTGTCTGGGGTTAATTCGCGTATTGTTTATTTTCGTACATGAACTTTAAATACTGTCTTTTCTTATCTATTTCCTTACGTTTACTTTCTTTTTGAATAGACATGTTTAAAATAAATTATGTTAGATTTTTTGTATTCTATTTTTTTTTTTGAAAGCGGACCAAAATTTTAATATTCTTTGGAGATCGGAGTGATACCACGGTCCCACAGAAAACCGACGTGAAACAAACACAGCGTTGTGTTTCGCCATGAGAGTGAAGTTATTGGAGGCCAATCCCTTCCCTTCTCCCAAATCCCTTCCCTTCTCCCAAATCCCTTCCCTTCTCCCGCATCCCTTAACAAAAGGCCATGTGGGTCTCCTAGGGCGGACCCGTCCCCACTTCGAATAAATGGTATTATGTTTGTGTCGTTCATTTGTTCACCGGCATAGGGTGAGGACGTAATAGGTACCCTTTGGTCTTTGGGAAGCCGAATAATTATAAAACATATGTGATTAGTTCTCACCTCATACTGGTCCTTGCACTGTCTCACTCGCTCCAGATACATATCGTAGACATATTGAGCCATGTGTGGCATGTCTCGTATGCGTAGTGTCATGGCGTCCGGCACGTTGGCTGCGGCGCTTCTTTGAGCAGGCCAGCGTTCGCCCGGTACCAGTTCCAACTCCAAGGGACGTTCCACCAGCTAGAAAATAGAGATTTTATATAATCATTGTATGAGATGAAACGTATTTAATAGAAAGTCTTGTTGATAGATAGAAATCTCAGTACAGAGCTGTTTTTCCCGCAAATAAGGTGCTAATACTATAATTTAATAAAATGACTTTAAAAAAGTGTATTTTTGAATGCTAGACAGTTTTAAATTCTCATGAAATAATTATAGTCTCTATTCTACGCGAATGAAGTAGGTCATAGTATTTTTAAACAAGATTAATGCTATATATAGTTCATACATAATTTGTGTGGTATAATCGAGCCCGTTAACGTCAAATGTAAACAAAAATATTTGATCTATTTTAATACCCATATAAATGTCTGTAAATACGATTTGTGTTTAACAACAATAAATCTATTTTTATATACCTATTTTAAAAATGGATTTTTACAAACAGCTTATTTTCAGAACGGAAAATTGTCGTAAGTTTGTGATTTTTGTGCTATTAAAATGCATTCAACGGTGAAAAATCTTTTTGATTGGACGTTGATAGCAAAATCATCATCATTCTTACCGAGTCTTTTGCATTAGTAGTAATAAGTGTGGGAGAGCCAAGCTTCGGCTCGAATGGGTCGGCTCGACCGGAGTGATACCACGGCCTTACAGAATACCGGCGTGAAACAACCCACAGCGTTGTTTCGCCGTGTGAGTGAGGTTACCGGAGGCCCAATCCCTCCCCCTCCCCTATCCCTTCCCGATCCTTATATCCACTACCCCTATCCCCAAAAGGCCGGCAACGCACTGGTAACTCCTTTGGTGTTGCGGGTGTCCATGGGCGGCGCCGATTGCTTACCATGAGGTAATCCGTCTGCTCGTTTGCCGACTTATACCATAAAAATTTGGTTAGAAATTGAAATACATATTAAAATAAATATTATGCTATTACGCTGAGGTTCTAATAAGTGAAATGAGAAACATTTTAATTTTACCTATAGAATATTAATATTTTTATGGGATGTGGAAAGCATAAACAAATTCTCTGTAAATGTGAGCCGTAAATATTATAGATAATAACGCGTATTGGCCATTTTATACCGTGGCATCTGTTTTAGTTTGGCATATAAAAGTAAGTCTATGAAATGTAGATGTTTTTTTGAATAAATATTTATTTATCGCTGAATTGCGTAGAGGCCCAGGTCAAAATAAATTAATTCGATGTTTCAATACCATAAAATATTGAAAAATAACTATATAGAGTATTATATTTCATCGATCTGTTGATAAACTAAATTTTCGATATTTTTTTCGCTATTTTTTAAGAAATAAAAAGGCTATTTGATGTTAGGAATAGTATGACGTCAGAATTTGGAGTTCCATTTAGGCGATTCTCACACTGCCCCGCATGCTGCAGCGTAGCGCGTGGATGCGTGTTCTTCCGCTGCTTGTAAGTATCTCCATTTGTATGGAAAACACGCACAGTCTAACACACAGAAAATGCATCCACGCGCGTTCATGCGGATCACGCGATACACGCGGAGAAACATGCACCCCCGCGCGTAGGTGCGGGGCGAGACGCAAGGTATGGCACACTGAATCCCGCAGCGCCGCGCGTGATTTTGAATGGTTGGTTGGTTGTACCCAGTATCTTATATATTATTATAGGCACGATTTGTTATAATTTGACCGTAAAAAACAGTTAGTATAATGGCAGCGTACTGAATGAGTTCCACACCATTTTTATCAAAACTATCGTGCTGCTCAGTACTGCACGACCAATGCGAATAGAGCAAGAGCCGCCGTGCGTGAATCTACAAAACGCAACTACGCGCGTGAGTGCGCAAAAAACCCGCACGATGATGCAGATATTCACTCCCGCAGGAACGCGCGTAGGTGCGTCGACACGCAATATGCAGCATGATGCGGGGCAGTGTGAAAATCGCCTTAAATTTAATAAAAAGTATAGTTTTTGACGTTTGGTTAGTATTGAATTTGACTGGTTAGAAACTACAGTATTGCAAATAGACGCATGGGCACCTGTATTAAAAAAAATATGTTTTACAAATACATAGCCCCACACACAAAGGAAATTTCTACTAGCCGGGATCCGATTACAAACACACAATTTTACATACACATCTCACCACGACGCATCGCGGACCTTGTCAACTCTGCAATCGAATAGTTTTTTTTTGTTTACCTATTGCAGTGAGGTCAGATGCAGATCACATATGGGCCTTGATGATGAAAAATAATTACCTGATTGAATGTTGGCTGCAACTCGAAGCAGTTCCTGAAGAGGTTAGCTCTGGCAAAGATGTAGAGGCCAAGGCGAGCTCTGGAGGCCGCCACAATAAGACGGCGGAGGTCTCTTACGTGACCTACTGCGCGAGTACGGACCAAGGACACTAGTGCTATGTCATTCTGCTGACCTTGATACTTGTCAACTGTAGTCACCTGAAAAACAAAACATTAGTTAGAGACGATGCGATAACTTCCTACTATTAGTTTTTTTGTTTCTGATTCCTAGAAAAGGAAAAATTTAACCTACTGTGCAAGTGCAATGCTTTTTTTTTGTCAGGGAAAAATCATCCAATGACTTCTCCCGCTCAGGGCCGGGCGAGAAGGAGTGTCAGACTCTTACTGACTAAAAACTCCCCCGTTCCTTCTCCTGCTCTGGGCCGAGGTCGCGGTGCCTCATTGCGCTTACCCCGCAACCCCGGCAAATGCGTTGATATTTTCGATGTGTTTAACCGTTTTTACCCAGAAATTCTCTGTAAACGAAAATTATACGTTGGCAAGCCAAAATTACTTTTTTCATCAGCCGGGTAGACTTTCCGCCTAACATGTGCCAGGTTCTACATGAGAAAGATCAGATGATAGGTATACGCGGTGGTGGGTGGGTGGTTTTTATCTATTTATAAACGATTTGAAATTGCTACAAAAATAGTTACCAGACCTAGATAAGAAGACCGGAATATGTTTTTTACCACTGTAATCTCCAAATGCGAGAAAAATGCATGAAAATTCTTACATTACACTTGTTACATTTAAAATCACTCAAACAAATCGTCAGGTCATTTCCGCCCACAGATTGACAGATTTCGACACAGTCATCTCCAATGACACACAATGAGCTTAATCTGCAGCTCTACGCAAAAGTTCTGTCAGACTGTTGCGATTTCACAATAAACAAAACTAAAATAATGGTTGGTATATATATATGTATATATATATATGTGTTTTACTAGTGTGTTAGCAATTAATATACATATATATATATATATACATATATATTACATACATATATACTTTATACATATATATACTTTATACTATTATATATTATATACATATATATATATTAATTGCTTGGTATATAACTAATATTATAAATGCCAAAGTAACTCTGTCTTTTCTTCACGCCTAAACTACTGAACCGATTTCTGTGAAATTTGGTACAGACATATTTTGTAACTTAAGAAAGGACATAAGATAGTTTTTATACCAAAAACTTGCCGGAAGTTACTATTCGACGCGAACGGAGTCGCGGGCAAAAGCTAGTTAGTAAATAAAAATAAACCCAAATTTAGTTGAGCGTGATTATTTTAAGCGGATGAAGTCACGGGCAAAGGCCGCATAACGTATATCGATATCGATATCCTTGGCGGTTAATAGGTTAATCGACCTCGAATACCCATGTTAATTTGCAAAGTTGAGTGTTTTTTTATGATCCCACATAACGTCAGAATGACGCTTTGCCTATATGAGACATAAAAAAACTCAAAATATCATGGCTATTTTAGTTTTGCGAAGTCATTTGATATCTCAGTTTGTATTGAGGTCGTGATGGCCCGGAGGTTAAGCAGCCCGCTTCTCATGCATGAGGGTGTGGGTTCGAAACCTGGCAAGTACCAATGTGACTTTTTCCGAGTTACATGTACTTTCTATGATTATTTAGACACCACTGACGCACGGTAAAGGTAAACTTCGTGAGGAAACCTGGACTTATAATTTATAATTATATGTCGTCTATTGAAAAGTGACACAAGTTTGTTGAAAAATGGGAATGTCGATCTCGTGCCTTTTGCTTGTCAATAAGTCTCGGTGGACTCAATACTAGTAGAGCTTGCCTCTATTAGATCATGTGAGTAAGGGGATTTCATAAAATACGTGAGATGAGCAAGGGGAGAAGAGGGGGTCGAGCCAAATCTTATCTAATCTTACGTTGGAAGGAGAGGAGGGCGGGGGTCTCGGAAAATATCATAAAATGTTCTAAATGAAGCAAAAAAAAAATATATACTACTTTGGTCCATTTAATCCAGATAATCTTACTTTACAATAATCATCTAAGGAGTTTATTATGAAATCCATATTTTTAAAAATCTCACGTGAGAATGGGGGAATGTTGATGAGTTGAATAAAATCTCACGTAATTTAAAAACGCCCCCTAAGCCTTATATTTCTGTTAAATTCTATATCTATTGCGTTATGGTATAAAACAAGTTGATTAAGAAAGTTCTCATAGGCTTCGTTGATCGTTGTTCTTACTCATGCTAAAATAAAAGTGAATGGAATTTCGCTTATAGTGAAGTATCTATCGTAGAAATAGTAAGTACTACTAAAAAATTAATAAACGTTAACATTTTTTTGTACAAAATGTTGTTTAAGTATTTATTAAGAAGATCCTGTGTTGCTATACTACAAGGTCCTATTAAAACTAGTTACCTATATTTAGTGCTTATTTAATCTGTAAGACCCGCTCCCAAATGATGTCACTTTGTATGAATTCAATCGATGAGATAATCAGATAGGTTCCGCATATTTTGTCTGTCCTGTCTGTGTGAACACACTAAGATACTGTATCTATGTCTATGTAATCTAGTTTGTAAATTGTGATTGGATTCACTTCCGAGGTCACAAATGTATTTTTCAACACACTTTCTCATAAAGTGACTCTTATCCCGTGGCAATTAGGCACATCATTCATCATTATCAGCCTATAAGTGCCCACTGCTGAGCAAAGGCCTCTTCTCATACGGAGAAGGTTAGAGCATTGATCACCACGCTTGCTTAATGCGGGTTGGCGATTTCAAACTTATAATTAGAAATTATAAGTCCAGGTTTCCTCACGATGTTTACCTTCACCGTATGTCAGTTGTGTCTAAATAATCATAGAAAGTACATATAACTCGGAAAAATTCACATTGGTACTTGCCAGGTTTCGAACTCACACCCTCATACATGAGAAGCGGGCTCCTTAACCTCCGGACCACCACGACAATTACGAATTAGGCACATAATGACACCTATAATCGAACTGTCACCTTTTCTTTCTATTATTTACTAGTGAGTAAGCAATTAAGTTTTTTTAAATATTATTGGTTGAGTTACGCTTATTTTATTAAAATATGATCTGCAAAAAGCCCAAAAAAAAAATCTCATTTTTTAGTCTACGGCTGATGCGCACGCATTGGAAATCTGGTTAATTCATCCCGCCAATACGAAGCATTTTTCACAACTCGTCTCGTTTTCTATTTTGATGTTTTCTATTTAAGTACATATTATTTTATTCAGTAGTGTGTCGAAAAACGTCGTATGATACACGTGTGTATTGATGATCAACGTCCTCGGCTCCTTAAGACTGGTACCTGGTAAATGTGGCAAATGTCCACATAACATAAATTACAATGTTATGTTTACTATATGACTTAACCTGTCACTGAAAATGATATGGGCAAGATCAAATTATGACGAGAGTTTTTCAGAGAAAATCGCAAGGAAATCCTTAGATAAATTATTACGTAACTAACAGTACGTAGTTCTAGTTCATTATTAGTGTTTAAGGTTTGAGTCAGATTCGGTTTGCAGACTATCACGTGGTTTTTATTTTTTATGTTGCCCGAAAAGTCTAGCCATGTGCTACAGTCTGACTAATATAATAGCGCGAATGTTTATGTTCTATTAAACACACATTGCCTATCATTATAACTGTTATAAATAAAACGACTCAGAGAAGCCCAGTTGCCAAGGCCATACTGATCATTCTACTACGGACTAACAAAAATATGCTGTATGATCAATTACTAATGGTTTAAAATAAGTCTTGGACAATTTTGCCTATCCTTTCCAAACATAACGCGTGATAAGAAGTGACACATCCGAAATGGAGGAAGTCCGGTTCACAAAGAAATTGAAACGATAAAAAGCCGTTCCGCAAATTTTCGGCATCAGCGACCATGAGTAATGAACAACAGTTCTTCCAAGAACTTCATTTAAGTAGTTAACGTAATGAATACTCGTTTCTGTATGAGCGTATCTGCTAATAATTAGAGAAGGCATGATTAGTATGCTAATTAGTTTTTATCATGTAGTGCATGTTTAAAACTTTAGACATTGAATCTAATTAAGAATTAGGTAAAAGTCATTAACTTAAATGACCTAACTATCAGATGTTATTGAATTCGGCTTATCTTATTAATCAGCAATTTCCGACATCTAGACGAAGACGCGACAGATGAAGGAAATCTAAAAAAAATATGGTCGTTGTACACACTCATTGGCGCTCTGGTTACGTTTGCCAAATTAGGAGTGCATTAAGGCAGCAGCAAGTTTTACAACCTTTCATTCTCAGTAGATTACGTACAATCAGCCTTTTTTTTGTCATTAACTTTCCCTTGCACCATAATTGGTTCTACAGAAGTGTTTCTTTGACGTGTAGTATGATCGAAGAAAGTGAGAAAATTAAATTGGATTATAATCCGACGCTGTTCTAAAGTAAGTTGTTGAGAGAGTTGAAAAAATTCATTTTTAGTACTATGATATAGTGTTTGTGATGGGATGGTTTTCAGTTACTAATATATTTTACATGTGGTAGATGTACGTCTAGAAACGTAAGGTCCGGTTCGACTGGAGATGACCACGATCTCAAGGAAACCCAGCTATGGGCAGATTCTTTCGAAAACATTTTTAGTCTTGCTAAGGTTAGAAGACAGCTTCAATTTCGCAAATTCCATTTGAAGTTTTAAAAGCAATTAGTACTGATATCAATTACATAAATGAACATCGGTCATCAAATTAATAATATTAAATACCTTATGAGGTCTTCCGATGAGCGGGTTTTCGGCACATCGTTTGTCAATGACGTCCCTGATGAGATGTTTCTGTCCATTATATGTAGTGAGGATTGAAATGCGATCCGCTGGCCAGCCAATCAGACGCATATACATGAACACCGCCACCACATATTCAGCTTCTGCGAGATTCTGAAAAAAAAAACAATAGAGGGATGCCGTCTTTACTTGTGTGTGTTAAAGTAGGAAGTCAACGGTGCACACGTTAGATCTTATATCCGCTTTTAGTTAAGGTTGAAACACAAAGGCCAATTTAAGAAACGATTATCCAATTAGTGGATGTTATGGCCGTTTAACTTGCCAAATTCAGCGGAATCTTTGTTGTCATAGGATGCCTCTGGTTATTCTAGAGAACCATAATAAAACCTTACAGTTTACATGACTTCTCCCGCCCAGGTTAGGCGAGAGGGAGTCCCAGAATCTTACTGACTAAGCCTCCCCCCTGTTCCTTCTCCTGCTCTAGGCCGAGGCTGCGGTGCCTTATTGTGCTTGCCCAACAACCAAACCTGACAGTTGACATAGAGATTTATTGTTGCCATAAAGTGTCATTTAATAACACCATAAATAAAGTTGGGACAATAATTTACGATAGTCGTCAACCTTGTCACTTTATTTTGGTTTGACTTGTAGTAAAAGTCAATCTTATTTCGGATAAAAGTAAATTATAATGTTCTAAAAATTTAATCATTAACCCACAGATATGAGCATGAATCAATCAAGTAGCATTATTAGAATAAGAACTATAGTAATTTATTTCTCATGGATAGGTACATAACTTTTTTTAAACGCAAAATGGTCCGATCCTCAAATTTGAAACGATCTTCGCCAATATCGAATTCGCTACTTCGTATCTTTGTAGCTCTTGTCGCTGTGTTTTATAGGTAAGAAGACGTCAAAATAGTTTTTAATATGTTGCGGTAAGCTACGTTTAAGATCTAACGGAAAACTACCAAACGACTGGGCCATGAGGAAACGTCATATTCGCAAGATCATAACAAAAAAAGCTACAAAGTATCTAACTACTATCTAATTATTACCAAATGGGTTGTGTAAGTACAATAATAATATTATAAATTAGGACTGGTTGCGTCATTCACAACATCCACGTCTCTTAAAACAGAGTAGCTAAAACACTACTTATTGAAGTTCTATGTTATTTCGTCTTTTTGTCCTGTGAGTGTTACAGATGGTTATGTTTCCCCTCATTATTCACTCAAGTTTAAATTAAATACTTAACATTAAAGTTAATAATTTAAATAAAATTATAAAATCATTAAGTGGGACCCGTACAAAAACCTTTTACAATTGGACAGTAGACCAGCACATTTTTCAAATGCTCTTCCTTTAGCATGAAATTAACCGGTTGGCGAGGTGGCGATTTCCTCACGGAACAACTCTTTTTGCTATCCACAAATTGTTGTTCCGGGTCTGGGTGTAACGTGTATGTGAAATTGTTTGTACTGATGAAAGTGGTTGTATTACTTTAAGTTAAGTTTTTATCTGTAGGTATTAGGTATATGGTGTACGTATGTATTTAGCAGTATACTAGTCATTCACGATACAATAATTAAGCTTTAATAAGCTTGGGCTCCTCTACTATTACATGCATGAAGCATGTCGTAAGCTTTAATTATTGCGAGTTAGCTACTGCTACAAAACAAATATCTACAAGAACAATCAAACACAATGCTTTTAAACGTAGTATATAGTAAATAACGATTGAAATATAAACGATGTTCGAGTATGGTAGGAATTAATTATTTCTAGGTAAGCCCTACCATTAGATGCGCAGACTTTGCCAATATTCAAATGACTTGGACAGAAACCTTACGTACTACATAGGCGGCTTTATGTGTACTTGCAAATAAATGGGATTCTTAGGTCTGAGTTATGAGTTAAACGCGCGGAGGACATTTGCAAACAATAACTAACTAAACATAATATTGTGACCATCTGAAAAGTAGGTTGTGAACTAGGGTTACCAAATTAGGTTACGATTTTAAGTTTTACAATAACTTAGGTACTTATTGTGACGGACGGAAAGCTACGGAACCATACACTGACACCAGGTTTCTGAAAGGCTTGTCAATGCTAAAATTAACTAATCTCCTGTTCTCCTGTCAAGTCATCTGATTGGTTGTTGATAATTTAGTCAACCAATCAGATGACTTGACAAGAGATTAAATTGATTTTAATATTGATCGGCCTTTCGGCAACCGGGTGTTAGCGTAAGCGTAGCCCGGTACGCTTTAGGCCGGTTTTTGTCGTCGATGTAATGCGGTGTAATTATCAAAGTCAGTAACACTTTGATTACGAGCTAAACCGAAAATGTATCTAAAATGATTCGGTTAAATTTTTGGCCATATTTTTTGCCTCAAGTAGAGAGCCACCAAGGCCATAAAACCATTGACGCTTATCTAAACAAGTCTTCGCAACGGTTGAATGGGTTGACTGTAAGCTTACAATGGCTGGGGAGTCAATAAACTCGAACGAAGGTACAATTGTACGAACCCTAGTTGAATGCCTGAATCATGACGTTCTTCCCGACAACGCTATAATGAAACGGGTGTTGCTGAAACAGGTGTTGAAGCAAAATACTATTTACAATTTCCTTTGTTTATTTTTTTACGAAGTCAATGCTGACTCTTTACTAAGCGTGAAAAAAAAAGTGACAGCCTGTTATAAACCAATTGGTGTGTCTAGACCCATCTCAAGCATCTCGGCTAGCACGCCTAATAAGGGTTCTTGCACTGTGACTTAGTCACTGGCTTTAATCTATACCTTGTATATTTAAAGTACGAAACGTTTAAAAATAAACCATGCCATTTATGTCGGTTCAGATTAAAATCTACAACGTTGAGTTTTAAGGTCAAAATGTAGTGTGTGGGAGACCCATGCTCCAGTCGGATCGACCGGAGTGATATCACGGCCTCATAGAAAACCGGCATGAAACAACTACAGCGTTGTGTTTCGCCGTGTGAGGTTACTGAAGGCCAATCTTTCCCTCCCTCAATCCCTAAATCTCCAAATCCATGATAACCAAAAGGTCGGCAAGGCACCCTCGACTCGAGTGTTCATCATGGGAGGCACTGATTTCTTTATCATCAGGTAAAAAGCCTGGTCATTTGCCGACCTATCACATCACTCACCAAACATTCGTTTTTCTTTTTTTTATTGTTTTGCCCACCAAAAATTGTTTACTCTATAAAATATTAAGTAAATACATTCACAATAATAAATACATTGTGTAACAATCTATTATATGTAAGCACAGCATGCTACTACTTGCTACTTATTCAAAGTTATAAGCATGTAATTATGACACTATGAAAATTTGAATTACTTTAACTTTAATTGAATGAAATTTGATATATGGAATGTCAAACATAATTTAAACCTAGAAATACGCTGGTATTGGTTTCTTTAATTATAATAATAATGTCTGTATAGAATTTGTCTGATGGTAAGCAAGCATCTAAGCACTTTGCTGTAAGGCTGGAAGGTTACGATATCGGTTAAGGAGAGGAGAACAAATTGTATTCCATCTACTTTACATCTACCCCGGTCACCGGGGCGTGTGGAATCGGCGAGAGGTGTCGCGCGGTGTCCAACAGGGATCGGTCCTGGGACCTCTCCTGTGGAACATCGGGTACGATTGGGTGCTACGCACCGACCTCCCGAGCGGCGTCAGCATTGTCTGTTATGCTGACGACACGCTGGTGCTGGCGAACGGGAGGTCGCATCAGGCGGCGGCCGATCTGATGTCACAAGCGGTTGCGACAGTCGTTGCAAGGATCCGGCAGTTGGGACTCGAGGTGGCGCTCCACAAGTCCGAGGCCATGTGTTTCTATGGCCGTCGGAGCGCGCCACCTCCAGGTGGGTCCCAAATAACGGCAGGAGGAGTTACCATCGGCGTCGAGTCGGCGATGAAGTACCTGGGTCTCGTCCTCGACAGCCGATGGAACTTCACAGAGCATTTTCGTCGTTTGGCCTAAGTTGGAACGGTCTGGGGCCGCGCTCAAGCGGCTCCTTCCCAACCTCGGGGGGCCAAACGCCTCCTGCCGGAGGTTGTATATGGGGATTGTGCGATCCATGGCCCTCTACGGTGCCCCTGTGTGGGCGCCGGACTTGAAGCGGCGGCCGGCTCGTACGCTGGTCGCGTCCCAGAGGGTCATGGCCATCCGAATAATCCGCGGATATCGCACGATCTCCGGGAAGGCGGCGAACCTCCTTGCCAGATCACCGCCGTGGGATCTAGAAGCGAAGGCGCTTGCGCGCGTCTACAGTTTGCGCGCAGACGCGCGTCGCCGGGGCGAAGGTCCTCTGCCGCGCCAAATTAGTGCGTGGCGGAATGAGCTCCGGCGAGATCTCATGGCTGAGTGGAAGCAGCGACTGTCGCAACCGAGGGCCGGGCACGCTACTATAGCAGCGGTAAGACCCCTCTTTGAGGAGTGGCTTGAGAGACGCCACGGCGTCCTCACCTTCCGTCTGACGCAGGTGCTTACCGGGCACGGCAGCTTCGGTAGGTTCCTGTTTCGGATCCAGCGGGAGGAAACGCCCGAGTGTCGTCATTGTGAGGACCACCTAGAGGATACGGTGGAGCATACGGTAGTGGTATGCCCTGCCTGGGCTGAGCACCGCCGTATCCTCAGGGAAGTGATCGGCGGCGGCGACCTCTCGCGCCCGGCCTTAGTCGAGGCCATGGTGCGGAGTGAGAGGAACTGGGACGCCGTCTCCTCCTTTTGTGAAGCAGTCATGCTCGCAAAGAGAGAGGCGGCCCGCGTGAGGGAGCAATCCTCCTCCTCACGCCCCAGCAGCCGCAACTGGCGACACTACGGGCGTCGGGGATCAAGGGGCGATCTCCGGCCTCCGGCCACGGGCCTGCGGTCGGCGAGTAAGGGCAGCTCGTCGCCCGACCAGAACCAGGCCCGAGCGTACGGCGCGTAGCGTTCCGCGCGCGCCTCAAAGCCATTAGACCACCACAGATGGGGCCCTAAAGGGCTGATGCTCAGCCGGGGTTGCGGGGTAAGCGCAATGAGGCACCGCGACCTCGGCACAGAGCAGGAGAAGGAACAGGGGGGTTTTTAGTCAGTAAGAGTCTGACACTCCCTCCTGCCCGGCCCTGGGCGGGA